GACTTCTCATGGAGGCTTGAGACACCCAGGGGTGCCACATGTGGACACTGCAGTGGTTTGCTCAGGAGATGCCAGAGCTCTTAAGAGACAGTTGGGCAGCCTTGCTGATGTGAAAAGTGAGTGGACCAGTCATCATCTGGGTGCTCATCGTGGCCACCATGACTGTGAGAATTTTTCCCCACTGGAGCTGCCCGAAGGATGTACTGGTTCTGCAAGCAGTGCCCAGGGACTCTAGAGATTGTACACAAATGCCATGTTTGTGTGTGCAGATTATGGGGAGAAGGTCCATAGACCTCACAGTGTTTCAAGTTGAGGTGGGCATGACCCCAAAGAGAAGTGCTGGGGCCTCCAGTCTCCCCTGGGCTGACCCAGACCAGACAGACTGAGTTTGGATCCCATCAGATTACCCCTCCCCCCTGGAAGATTGTGCGGGTTGGATTATGTGTTGACAAACTGCCCACATTGAAGAATCCTCTAGGACACAGTCCCATGAAACTTGTCCTTGGGTTTTTTAGGTACCAGGTCTTGAGGACATGGCTCATGGTGGTACACACAGGGCTCTCTGGGAGACCCGTTGGGAGAAACCTTGCACTGGATTCAGTTTCAGGAATAGTTGGACATCTCTTGAGCAGATGCTCTATTTTTATCTTATGGATCCTTTGAAACACGTAAGTGAAATATTTTCTTTTTCCCATTGGCTGCCAGGAAGCTCTGACCCCTGTATATGTAGCCCACAAGTGGCTTGGCTCTTGTATGCTGATCTGGCCGCTGGTCTTTTCAGAATTTTATAGCTTTGTTTTCCCCTTGCCTTATTTTCATCACCTCTTTTTTTCTTAGGAAGAAAAAAACCTTGCTGTTTTATGTGTTTTAGCCTTAACTAAACAAACATCTATGTGGATCAGCACTGGCTACTGCAGAGCCAGGGATTAAGCATTTCCTCTCCGCACTTTCTATCCCAGAAGCCGGTTTGCCAGCTGCTCTGTCCTTGCCCAGTTCCCTTGTGCTTGCTTTGGTTCCTGGGAGCCCTGAGCATTGGGACTCCTCCGTCCTGGCTCCTGAGTCTGGTCAGAAATACGATGTTGAGTTTCTATTTTCTCTACTCTCCCTCCCCATCCCCCAGGGCTGCACAACATTTTTTTAGGGAGAAAAAGCTGGGAACGGAGTTATTTCCCCAACTTAGGCCTCAGCTGCTCCCCAGGTTCCCTTCTGAGGTCCTGCTCTTTTTCGGCTCCTGCCTTGTCCCAGCAGTCCCCAGCGCACTGCTGTCCTTACTGGGCCACCTGAACAGAGAGAGACCATTTCTGGTGGAAAGGAAGTGACTTCACCCTGGTGCCTTGGTGAGGTCCTGCTCTTTTTCGGCTCCTGCCTTGTCCCAGCAGTCCCCAGCGCACTGCTGTCCTTACTGGCCCACCTGAACAGAGAGAGACCATTTCTGGTGGAAAGGAAGTGACTTCACCCTGGTGCCTTGGCAGTGGGGGAGGGAAGAGCTGGCTGGCCGTGCCCTAGGGACAGGAGAGGAGGCATGGTGAGCTGCCACAGCTGATTTTCAGTGGCCCAGCCTGTCATCAATCACCGCTCTAGTTCTTACATGGAGTGGCTTCACGTTGTCTCCAAAAGTGAATAAATTCAAGCTGAACTAAAAAGCTCAGCATAAACTGTGCCTTCCTTCCACTCCAGTCTGTCCAGAGTTACCAGTTCAGTGCAAGTTCCCTCAGTGGTTGTTTATGCATATATACAAATATATATGTATATATATACATATACATACACATCCCCTTTTAAAAAATGAGAAATGGTGGTATATTATTACAGTGTGTTTTCTGCCCTAGCCTTTTTTACTTAATAATATGTCTTGGTTGCTTGTTCCACATCAGTATGTACATGCCTGTGGAGCCTTCTCTGATATAGTCAGTTGAAAAGAAAATCCTGGGGTGGGGGTGGGGATGCTGATTATGAAAGGATTAAGCCTCTGGAAGGGAAGGGTGCCCATGTGTGGGCTTCAGGAGATCCAGGAAACTTCTAAATTGCATGTGTAAAATGGTGGGCATAAATGAAATTTTCTGGGAAGAGGGATTGTGTGTCTAAAGGTCTGTGGCCCAGAAAAGGTAAAAAGACACAGCTCTGTTCTACATGAGGATTCCATACAGCAGGAAGTGGGGGGCTAGCTTGGCAGAAGGCTGAGCCTCTGGGTTCTTGGGCCCAATTGGGGCAGCCATGGATCAGGCTGGGGAGTGGTGGTGGGGGGATGGGGAGAGAGATGCCCAGCCCTAGTATCTTCCTGGAAGATGACTGGATTTTTCCCACTTCCAGTGGAGGGCCCCCATGTCTGCCATGAGGGCGGCCCTGACTGACCCTGAGAATAGAGCATGGGGCCTTCCTGGGATTAGAGAATCCCAGTGGTTAGAGCTGAGAGGCCCTCTACTCAATGGATCTATGGAAACACTGAGGCACAGTGAGGTCGGGGATGCCTTGGCATGCCCTTCCCTTTCCCTGCTTTCCTGTGAGTCCAAAGACTGGAGAAATACAGACCGAGAAAGGCAGAAGCTGTGAGCTGTTCTTGCCTGGGACACTTGGTTCAGTGTTCCTTGCCTGCCCAATCAGAATGAGACAGGGGAGGAGAGGTCCTCAGACGGGGCGAGGCTGCCTGTTGCTGCCTGCCTCTTCGTGTGTGGCTGAGGAAGAGGGGGTGCACAGAGCAGAGGCCTCAGCCTGGGGGCCATGCCATCATCACACCTAGCTGCATCCCGCAGCATCACCTAGTGTGGGGTTGCAGCCAACCAGGCAGGGATTCTGAGCACAGCAGAGATATGCAGGGCAGGGAGGTGCACTGGACTTGTGACCACTAGAGGGCAGCAGGAAAACCACTGCGGTGGCTCGGCAGGAGCTAGTCCCCCGCAGGGAGAGAAGCGGTGGGAAGGAGGGGTGGCGGGCAGAGGCGGGTGGAGATCTACCTCACTGTCAGAGTCAGACCCTGTGGTCTGCAGGAGGATTTGTTCTGAGGCTCCCCTGAGACAAAAAGCAAACCACACATTTAATGATGTTGATATTGATTGACATTTATTGAATGCTTACCTTATGCCAGGCACTGCATTAACTAATTAGCCCTCACAACAGACTTGTTATAATTATCCCCATTTTGCAGGTGAGAAAACAGAAGCCCAGAGAGATTAAGAAATCTAGCCAATAAGTGGTTGAGCTGGGATCAGTGTGGCTGGTGCCAGAGCCCATGTCCCAGCCAACCATAAGGCTGTGTCATATCTATATGTCTGGCATTGACTAAATGCTTTAAGTCTCAATTCTTAGAACCATAGCTATGCTCATACCCACTTTATGGATGGGGAAACAGGCTCAAAGACAGTTGATGAATCACCCAAGTCCACATGCCTGCTGAGTGACAGATCTAGGCCAGTGTGGTCCCTGGCTCGAGCTCTTAGCTCTGAATTAGAGTTCTCCAATATAGAGCTGTTCTCCATGCCCAACCTGTGCCCTAATCAGAAGTTGGCTGATACTGAAATCTGAGCTCTCTGCTGGGAGTGGGAGTTCACCAACGCCCCTGCCTTCCAACAGAAATGACAGATTCAGAGCTTTTGTTTCCAAGGTTTGCTTGGATTTTGACTAGCCGGAGGTGGAGGGAGGCCATGCCAGAGTCTGCTAGAATGGGCCCTGGGGTCCACAATCTGGCTTGGAGGACGAGGGCAATGAGGAGTATTTTGCAGTGGCGAAGGCTCCCTTGGGAACAACAGGACCTGGCCCTGGGGCCTCTGGTTTGCAGGGCAGATGCTTCCAGCATACCAAGGACACTTGGCCAGCCCTGGACCCAGCTCTGCCAGGCTGGCAGGAGGGCGGGGGCATTTCCAGGAGGGCCCGACTTCCCCCATGTTCCCGTTCCCATGCCCTGGCTTTGCCCTCTGGCAGGGGGTGGGGGGATGGCCTGCGGCTGGGCCCTCAAACACATTCCCCTCCTTGGTGCCCAGGCTGCACCTCATGAAGCTGAGTCCACTATCTTAGGGATTTATTAGATTGAGGTGCTTCAGTTCAGATTTATTAGCAAAGCAGCAGCTTTGATTCCTGGCCTTAAGTTTCCCTGGTCATGTGGGTGGGGGTGGGGAGGGGAGTTGCGGGAAGAAACTGAAATGGTCCCCTCCCCGGCAAGATGGCAAGATGATCCTCTCTAAAGAAAACCCTGGGGGTGAATTCTGTTTTCGGAGCCGGAATCCTAGAGTTAAGTGAAGACTCTTTAAGGTTCTGTTTCTAGTCTTGGTGGAGACTGAAGGGGGTGGAATATGAGTGGAATGAGGGAGTGGGACAGGGAAGACGATTTGAATGTGGACTTCATAACACACTGCCTGGGTTGGAATCGTGGCTCTACCCCTTACTATGGGTGTGAGACGGGGAAAGTTATCTAACCTTGTGAGCCTCAGTGTCCTTATCTGTAAAATGGGCATGTGACAGTATCAACCTTACAGGGTTGGCATGAGCATGAGATGAGCTCATGCCTGTGAAGGGAGTGTATGCCTGGAG